ATGAAGTCAACAGAGTGAGAAGACGTGATCAGAACGTTTAAAATACAATGGTAGCCTGAGCATTTATTGGCACTGAGCTGCTTCAGATTTAATCACACAAGACTTAACTTTCATTTTTTTCCCACAGTTTTAAGCCTACAAGACAGCTCGTCCACCTTCCATAAGATTTGACCACACAAACTCAAGTGTCTGCTTTAATTCTACTTCTAGAACTTTATTTACCATAGAATGTAAAACGTGGGATGATGGAACTTTGTTATTCAGAACAATTTATGTGAGCTGAGTAGTAGCTGGATTAGCGAACTGGGGTACATGCTAGGCTAAAGCTAATCCCAGTAGACAAGTGTTTATGAGTTTGTTTCATCTCATCAATAAGATTAAGTCAGAACACAAACATTTACTGTGAACATATTCTGAGTTTTGTCAAAATGAGAATATTCAACAAAGCAGAAGGCCCAGACGGAGTACCAGGTGGGCTGTTGAGGACATGTGTGAACCAGATGGCAGAGGCCTTCACCAAAGTGTTCCACCTCTCTCTACAGTGGTGTGCTGTCCCATCAGGTGTCAAGTCTTCCACTCAAAGCCCCTACACTACAACTATCAACAAGTGGTTGTAACGCTGATAGTGATGAAATCCTTTGAAGTTTGCCTCTCATGCAAACGAATGGTCGTCACACTGCCTTGACACATCTGGTCACAATCAGAACTTGGAGGACCTGTGATGACACCAAACACACTAAGCACTTTAAAAGTCTTCATTAGCCAGGAGCTAAGATGTGGAGGTGTGACCGGGGTAATACTCAGGTAAGGGCAGAGACGAAGACAGATGAGGGGACCAGGTGTGAAGCATGAAGGCTGATGAGGTGAATGATGGTGCATGGAGTTCAAGGCATGGCAGGATCATGACACATCTCAAGAAGCTAAACAGTTGTGAGTTTTAGTTCCTCACCAGGGTTCTGAATACAGCACTTCTTTAGTCAGAGATGGGAAAAGTATCTCTTCAACCATCAACCTGCACAGCAACTCTACAGGGTACATTTTAAGTCCAATGCTGTTCTTGTGTCTCACATTTGCACCCCATTCCAGCTATCCAGCCCAATAATAAAGTTGTTGGGCTGATCACGGACAATGATGAAACAGCTCACAGTCTTAACGTGACACACACTGGTATAGAACTGGTCCCTTACAAAAAGATCAACAAAGTAGACTTCAGGAAAAGAGAAAGGACTGGCCACCTGCTTACAGACATTGAAGTGCTGTGTGGGGAGACTAAAGTTCTTTGGATTCACTTTATCCGACCACCTCACATGGATCTTTTACATCTCAAGCTGAGCCAAAAATGGCCAACATTTGTGTTTAGCTGCATCGCTTTAGGAACTTCAGCTTGTTTCAGCTTTCAAGAAACAGACACGCCACTGTGAGCATCCTCACAAAATGCATCAAATTATGGTATAAAAGCTGCTAAATTCAAGTGCCCACAGCGGGTGATACGGACAGCCTAGTGATTAATAACTGCCAGCCATTTTCTGATCAGCGATTTTCGGCATTATTTACAGTCATCTGTTCAGTTTTTTTAACATTATTTAGAATGTATGTAAAAGGTTAACGGCCTGTATTTGTATTGCACCTCTACAGTTCAACAACCGCCCAAGGCACTCCATAACACAGTCATCCACCCATGCACACACATTCACATGTCCTGTTGTTGATATTATTATTATTATTATTATTATTATTATTATTATTATTATTATTATCTATGCACAGGAGGAAGATGCCAACTCATTTTTTGTGCCTGTATAACGATGAAAAATTAAAATATATGTTATCTTATTCTGTTCCATTTAAATTCTTACCTGGATTTTACATGTTGTCAAGAAAGTGCTGCTGCTATTGCTGACAGTATGTTTTTGTCGAATGGGCTCGACACACGGGAGGCGACAAACGACCGCGATCAGCGAAATTTGTCGCTGTCGCTTTTATTACCTGACACACGGGAGGCGATCCGCGGCAGCGGCCAGCGGCAAAGCCGTCTACACGTTCTGTTCCATGGCGAAATGGAAACTTCCGTTGTTTTGTTTGGCTGTGTCAGGTTGGAGGGAATTAAGGTTATTTAAGCGGTTCAGAGTTAATAAAGCGGTAGATATGATGTTTCACAAGGTGCTGCTAGAGTTATGTGAAATCTTACTTCTGATTTTACTATAAAACATAATAATAATCAACTTCTCCTCCATGTTTGCTCGGAGATGAACGGAGCATCCTGTCCGCTCATTGGTCAGTGAATGAAACCTCCGTTGATTGGTCCTCGTACGAGCGACAGCGATGAAAAGTTGAAAATATTTCAACTTTCTGGGATCGCGTCGCTGGGTGACTATGCACAACACATGCACGAGCGCAAAATTTCACACGCACGTTTTTCGCGTTTCGCTTAGTAGGAGGGAGACCTGAGATTATCGCTTTGTCGCTCATGTCTCATTGAAAATGAATGGAGGAGAGGCGATGTCACCTCCCGTGTGTCGAGCCCATAATTGTCCTGTTTTGCGTCAGTATAGCATCATTTTTTTCTTCTTTTTTTAAACACTCTGGTAATGGAGGATTACAACAGTCAAACGTATTAGTAACAAATGTTTGGACTAATTTTTCTAGCATCAGTCACAGACAAGATGTTCCCAGTTTTTGACAATTTAGCTCAGAAATAGAGATGACGCTCTGGGAACCTTCTTACTTTCTTATATTTAAGTTTAAAGACAGACTCGTGTCAAAATAGCAGAAAATACTGAAGTCAGTTATTTTTATTCAGATAATAGCTTGACAAAAGGTGCCAAGGTTCAAGGATGACAGCCTCAGATTGGTAAAAATATAACCAAGAAGAAAGCATAATGTTAACATGGTTGTAGTCTAATTATTTGGTTTTATTTGGTTTTGTTTGACTTTGTTAAAATAATGAGGAACCATCAACAAAGACAGTGCTGTTCTGTGTGATTTTTTTCCCCTTAAAAATAAAATCCATGTGTACTTATTTTCATCTCAGCCCTTAACGCTGATTTTAGGACATCCAGGTGAGTTGCAGATGGTGAAAAAAACCTTAAAAAAACAATCTGCAATTTCTGGTTTGCGTTAAGTTCTAGAAATGTAGATAGTATATTTTTACATCATCCACTACTAAATAAACTAAAATAATTGTGCTGCACAATGAAGGGTGGGTAGAAAATAAACAGCAATGAATCAAACAGGGTCATGGGCACAATTTACCACAGCCAGTGCCCCCAGCATTGTCAATCAATCAAGCTGCATCTCCCCCTGACTCGTGTGTGTGTGTGTGTGTGTGTGTGTGTGTGTGTGTGTGTGTGTGTGTGTGTGTGTGTGTGTGTGTGTTCCTAGTGAACAGGTGGGTGCTGCCAAGGACTCAATATCGTCTCTGATTGCCCTCTTCACCTCACACCCTTTAGCAGACACTATTAGTGTATGGACAGAAATACAAGAAAATATATAACTTTGATTTAAACATTGCCAAAAAGGGGACAATATATGACTAAAAGAAAAGACAACAGACATCAAAAAGGAAAGAAGAAAGAGAACACAGAAACTTTACAGAACTGGCATTTGTCTTCTCCTTTACCTTTGCTTAAAGCAGCCAAAAGTCAGTGATAACTGTCTTGCAGCTGCTTAAAATAACGGCTCCAACAGATTGTACTTAATTAAACAGCACTTCCCATGATGTCGTCAGTGCGCTGCACAAAAGAACTGATGATGAAAGGGAGACATGAAGGGGATAAGTTTGAAGTTTCAACGACATGATTCAATAAGTAAGATTTTGCTTTGGAGGGTATGCGGTCAGAGGTCAACAACCTGATTGATGTTTGAGATGAATACACAAAATTTGGATGATTGTTATTATTTTTTTGTTGTTACATGCATTTGTTGTGTATCCATCCATCCATCCATCCATTTTTGTCCGCTTACTCGTAGTTGGGATGCGGGGACAGCAGCCTAATCAGAGAGGCCCAGACTTCCCTCTCCCCAGCTACTTGGGCCAACTCCGGGGAAGCCCAAGGCATTCTCTGACCAGCCAAGAGACATAATCCGTGTTTACAAAACAATGCTGTCAATTTGCTGCAATGCTGAAGTGGCATCAGGGAGCCTAAAGCTTGGTTTATGCTTGACGCATTCACTTTCCGCTTGGTGATACGGCTCGCGGCTGGAACGCGCTTCACAACTCGCAGCGTTTATGGTCCATGCGGCTCGTCTCTGCGGTGAGCCAATATTCTCCCAAACTGTAGGGGGCAGCATGGAGCTCTACGGCAAGCATCCAACACTACACCTTAGTAGAAGTAGAAATTACTGTTTACAACATGGCATTCCAGCATTTTTTAACAGCGTCCTCGTCTTTTCCGACAGTGCGAGCTATTTCGCTCCAAGAATTATTAACAACATGTTGATCACGGCAATCTTTGAGAGCTGAATCATACAAATGTCTGTATTTATGAACTTTTGCCATACTAGTTCTTGCCGGTCCGCCATGTTTTTCTGCGTCCGACCGTCCGCGTGTTTAGAAAATTTCCTAGGTGAGCCTGGCGGAAATTTTGGGCCGTGCGGAGGCGCGGTGGAGGGGCGTGGTTGTTAAAATGACGCAACTTTTCCGCGCGGACCTCGCGGACGCGTCAAGCATAAACCAACCTTTAGGTCATTTATAAGTGGTCAGACAGACAGTTACCACACTATTACTACCAAGTGAGGCAGAACAATTGCCGCAAAAATGCTCGTTTCTGGTTTTAAGACACACCGCTGCGGTAATATTACGCTGATTTGCCAGCACTGTGTGTCTTGTAAAAAGAGCAATAGCCCCTCAGAAAACCTCACCAGGGAGGTGTTAAGGAGGCATCCAAACCAGATTCCAGAGCCAACAAAAACGACTTACAAGGCATTCATTCCTACTAGAGACCACTGAAAATGTATTGATTAAATGAGTGATCTGTGTTTCCTGTATGTGTTTAATGCAGGAGAGCCAGTGGCTGGACAGTGTGTCTCTGCTGATTAAAGACTCGTTGGAAGGAGACATGATTGACAACCTCTCTGGATCCATTTTTCATCATTACTGCTCCTCTCCAGTCTGCAAGGACTGCAAGAGTCACCCACAAGAGGTATTGGATATACAACTAATCCACTCATTCTACATTATTGCTCATCAGTTTGGTCCACATACAGTTTGACAATGACATGGTTGCTGGTTTGATTCTGAGCTGGCCTCATTCTGTGATGAGTTTACCTAATCTCCCATTGCATGTTTGGGTTTTCTCTGGGTGCACATGCTTCTTCCTACCATCTAAAACATGTATGTTATGCTAATTAGTGTTTCTTATTTGGCCTTAGCTTTATCAGTATTTGCATGTGGGTGTCTGTCTCGCTTTATGCAGTAAAGATGCTAAAAAGACTGCAAACCTGGTTAATCTTAAGCATATCTTACGTGTAGGGTGCAAAAACGTCTCTGCAGATTATGCAAATTAATGTTTTGGTTTTAAAGTTGAGTGTTTAAATTAACAATCATATCTATTATAGTGGTGAGTTGTTTTAGAAAATGAGGCATTTCAAAAGTAAATTAAATAATCTAGAGCAGGGGTATTCTGGTTCTCGATGTCCGGTATCCAGCACGTTTTAGTGGTTTCTCTGATTCAACACACTTGATTTGCCTGTGCAGCAGCTCATCAGGCTCTGCAGAAGCCTGTTAATCACCTGCTGATTGAAATCAGGAGTGTTGAACCAGAGTTCAAACTAAAATGTGCAACTAGACCTCCAGGCCCAGAGGTCAACTCCTTGCTTTAGACTAGACTGGTAAATGCAACACAATAACAGAGAAATGAACAAAGATTCACTATATAGGATGCAAACTGTGTCCACATACTTCTTATTTTTAATTCTAGGTACACTATATTGCTATTCATAAACCAAACGTTGGTGTTCACCTAAAGGGAAATGACTTGGTTGCAGTTCTTACAAAAGGATTTTCATTAAAATAACATTTTTTTTTTGTCTTAAGAATTGCAAACCTGTTAGGGTGAGTTTTCACTTTGTAATGACCATCTCATCAGGACAAGAGTAAAGAGTATCACCTGCTGTGCAAAGGCAGCACTACTGCGGACATCTTCCAAAGGAAAATAAGAATTTCAGGCTATTTTCATTGTATTATGTGAATGTTAAGTGGGCTTGTGTTTTTTTAAGGTCCAGAAACCTTTGCTGAAGGACAAATAATTCACCCACTATTAGAGTTTATCCCCATAACAAATGATGCTACATCATCATATGTATCAGCGTGTTTCTGTTTGCAGGTGATAGAATAATCCCAAAGGACAAAATGTGGATTTTCTCACAGCTAAATATGAACATTGTTCCTCACCTATGAAACACTTCCACGGAGAAGTGCCCATGACCCAGTGAAGACAAAGTCAGTCATCCCTCTAGGGACAGCAGTCGCTCAGGAGGTAGAACAGGTTGTCCAGTAATCGGAAGGTTGCAGATTCGATCCCGGCTCCGACCAGAGTATTCTGCTGTTCTGTCCTTGGGTAGTGTTCAGCAAGCCTTGCCTCTGTCAGTGCACACCAAGGCAGCTGCGGCTACATCGTAGCTCATCCCCACCAGCGTGTGAATGGGTGAATGACTGATTGTGTTGTGAAGAGCCTTGGGGGTTGTTGAACCCTAAGAAAGTGTTGTACAAATACAGACCATTTATATGATTTTCTCTTTTCTCAGGTTTTCCATAAATAACGCAGATTCCACAAAAATAACCAATCAATAATGAACAAGAGTCTGCTTCTAGACCTGCAGAAAAGGGACACACAACAATACAACAGGAGCAAGCTATCACTGCGTCAACTTGATGAAGAAATATAAAATTAACATTGTTTTACTGAACAATCACGATAATAAATCACAGTGCATTTAGTGCCAACTACAGCCTTAAGAAATGTGTTGAACGTGCCCAAGTCCATACTTATGAGAGCACCATGTGAGCACCTGTGTGTGTACTCGCGCTTGTATATGTAAGGTTTCTCTATAGGAGCATCCAATAGAGAGTGTGAGGGGCCACAGATCTGCCCCCCCCCCCCCCCCCCCCAAAGATGCATATGAGATGGAGGGAGCTCCAAGTCCCAGAGATCCAGGAGCTGCCCGAGAGCACAGGAACCCAAATGAAACTGTGACCAGAAAAGCCCCTGCCCCCCTCGAGAGGCGCAGAGGATCGCCCCGGGGGGCCACAACCAGCAGCCGGCAGAGTCCCGGGAGATATCAGCGGCAAGCCCACAGGCCCGCCCCCAGCCTCCCACCCCCCAGCCGGCCGAGCCCGGGACCCAGCGACCCGGGACCCAGGGGCGACCACCCCCGCCAGAGACCCAGATCCCACCAGGCAGCCACCGGGATTGATCAGGCAGATGCCAAAAATCTTAAACCCCCCTCACCCGGGAGCCACGAACACTCAGGCAGACCAAGACACCACACTCCACACCAGGTGTGGCAGGGGGAGGAGAGACAAAAATGTATAGCATCAAAAGAAGTCCCAGGAGAAGGGAGGAGTCAAAGGCCCTACCTGACATGTGCAGTCATACACAGACATAGTCACACACTCCCACCCTCATGCTCACACATACACATACAACCAAAGACTTACAAAAATGCACGCCGGACACCCACTCATACTCCCCATACACACCATATTCACTCTGGCCCTGGTACTGCTGCAAACGGGGTACAACCATTACCAGTTCCCAGAGTTCGACCCTTTCTGCTGGGGGTGCTGATGAGCAGGCTCCGCTGCCCAACGTTGAGCAAAGACACCCACCACCCCAGACACCAACCAGACCGCCAGATCTCCCTCCTAGCCTCCAGCCCCGGGAAGCCAATTGACAATAGAGGTGTGCTAAGACCCCTAGTCTCCCTCCGCCTGCTCCAATATAGTGTTAGTGCGTGTTGATGAGGTGTATTCCATGGCTGTGGTGAGCGGGCAGTGCGGGCATCGTCTGACCTGGGTCAGGTGGGGACATCTGGCTCCTGCGCGGCCAGGTTGTATTTACACAGGCTTCTCAGTAGCATGGCCCGAGGACATGGGCAAGCCCTGCCAAAGTGGTGTAAAGATTTCTGTGGTGTCATTTCTAAGTCTCACAAGTCAGTAAATAAAAGTGGGTATGAGCAGTGTTGCTTTTGGAGACTCTGACCTGAAGCACACTGCTTCTACTCTCTCACTGAGCGGATATGCTGCTGTAGGCTCCTCTTCCATCCATGAGCACTCATGGCAGATGTTCATCTTTGTGCTTCAGTGGCCCATTGGAACTGCACTCAGAGAAGATGTCTATCCCACTGCATTCAGACTGATAATGAGTCGCGCATTCGCACAGCCGCCACACGCAGATTTTACCTGTGCCAATCACAGGCTCCCACTAGTAGGCAGGCATGAGAGTAACATAACTTCAGCCGGCCAATCAGTCCATAAGTGGGTGTGTATGGTCGCCTCAGCACAAAATGGTCGACAGGATAGCAGGGACCAACAAAGCAGTTGGCTCCACTCAACAGGAATGTAATGGCATGATCTCACATGTCCCAGAATGACCTGACTGTAGTAAAAGAGGCCATAATGGACTCATCTTCACTGCTACAGCCTTATATATATATATATATATATATATATATATATATATATATATATATATATATATATATATATATATATATAAAAGCCAAGATTTTACACTTTCCAAGGTTGAGAATTTGGTGGATTTCGTTAAAAGACACACTGTTAAGTTCTGCACTTGGGAAAAGGAAGACAGCAATGGGGCAGATATTACATGTTTTTCTGTTTGTCTTATTTAAATCTGACCCTTAACCATCAAACTTTAATTCTGGACTGGAATGGTTGATAACGGCGTGACATATGTAATCTACCCTCAACAAAAGTATAAACGCAACACCTTTGTTTCTGCTCCGATTTCTCATAAGATGGACTAAAAGATCTAAAATTCATTCCAGATACACAATACTACCATTTCTCTCAAAAGTTGTTCACAAACCAGTCTAAATGTGTGATAGTGAGCACTTCTGCTTTACTAAGATAATCCATCCTACCTCACAGGTGTGCCGCATCAAGATGCTGATACGACATCATGAGTAGTGCACAGGTGTACCTTATACTGCCCACAATAAAAGGCCACCCTGGAAAGTGCAGTTTAGTAGCAGCAAAATGCCACAGATGCCACAAGCATTGAGGGAGCGTGCAATTGGCATGCTGACAACAGGAATGTCAAACAGATCTGTTGCTCGTGCATTGAATGTTCATTTCTCCACCATAAGCCGTCTCCAAAGGCCTTTCAGAGAATATTGCAGTACATCCAAACAGCCTCACAACCGCAGATGACATGTAACCACGCCAGCCCAGGACCTCCACATCCAGCAGGTTCACCTCCAAGATCGTAAGACCAGCCACTCAGACAGCTGCTGAAACAATTGGTTTGCATAACCAAGCAATTTCTGCACAAATTGTCAGAAACCGTCTCAGGGAAGCTCAACTGCATGCTCGTCGTCCTCATTGGGGTCTTGACCTGACTCCAGCTCGTCGCCGTAACAGACTTGAGTGGGCAAATGCTCACATTCAATGGCGTCTGGCACGTTGAAGATGTGTTTTCTTCACGGATGAATCTCAGTTTACATTGTTCAGGGCAGATGGGAGACAGCGTGTGTGGCGTTGTGTGGGTGAGAGCTTTGCTGATGTCAATGTTGTGGATCGAGTGGCCCATGGTGGTGGTGGGGTTATGGTATGGGCAGGCATCTGTTATGGATGAAGAACACAGGTGCATTTTATTGATGGCATTTTGAATGCACAGAGATACCGTGATGAGATCCTGAGGCTCATTGTTGTGCCGTACATCCATGAACATCACCTCATGTTTCAGCAAGATAATGCACGGCCCCATGTCGCAAGGATCTGTACACAATTCTTGGAAGCTGAAAATGTCCCAGTTCTTGCATGGCCAGCATACTCACCGGACATGTCACCCGTGGAGCATGTTTGGGATGTGCTTGACCGGCGTATACAACAGCGTGTACCATTTCCCACTAATATCCAACAACTTCGCACAGCCATTGAAGAGGAGTGGACAAACATTCCACAGGCCACAACTGACAATCTGATCAACTCTATGTGAAGAAGATGTGTTGCACTGCATGAGGCAAATGGTGGTCACACCAGAAACTGACCGGTTCTGAGTCCCCAGACCCCCAATAAAGCAAAAAAACTGCACATTCCAGGGTAGCCTTTTATTGTGGGCAGTATAAGGTACACCTGTGCACTACTCATGATGTCAGATCAGCATCTTGATGTGGCACACCTGTGAGGTCGGATGGATTATCTCAGCAAAGCACAGGTGCTCACTATCACACATTTAGTCTGATTTGTGAAAAATGTTTGAGAGAAATGGTAATATTGTGTATCTGGAATGAATTTTAGATCTTTAAGTCCATCTCATGAAAAATCGGAGCAGAAACACGGGTGTTGCGTTTATATTTTTGTTGAGTGTATTTGAAGGAAGAAAGTTCTGGAATGGTCTTCAGTGAAGCCAAGAATGTTCTTTAGGTGGATATTTCACCATTTAAGTTAAAATCATCCAGATTGAGGCCATGTACACATTTAGCCAATTATTTGTAAAACCAGATGTCCTCCTCCTCCCATCTAGGAATGAAACTTTCAAAACGGTCCACAACATTCCATTTTCATCAAGCAAATCCAGTGCATTGTCAAGCACATTCACAGGCATGCCAAGCCTGTAGGTGGCAGTAGTTCCCCACGTTGTTATTGTCTTTAAAGAAAGACGTCCCTCAGACGTGTAAAAATGTCATCCTTCATATATGGTCTTCTGCATAAAGCAGTAGTGAAAACAAAGGTAACACGTGATGTCAGAGCATTTTTTCATCAGTAATGATGTTTCAAAACCGAAAGCCACTGTTATGCACGTCCACAAGCAAATGCTGGCAATAGAGGATTTGCAAATCTCCACTTTGGTTGGAATTTTTGAAAGAATTGTTTGGGTGGAGCACATCTTCACTTTAATGTGGATGACAGGCCAAACTATAGAAACATATTTGTTTTGTGGGATACTCGTCTACACGTGAACATGTCGACAGTCTTTTCTTTAATAAATGGAAAAACACATCTTGAGTCGTGCAGAAAATACATCCCACTTCCAAACCAGGATCATCTCACCACCTCCCATTCTGGATGTGAAAAATGTTTATTTTTTTCCTCCCATGTGATTGGCTGCTGTGCATTTGTGAAATAGATTCGATTGGCAGAGGTGGAGCAGGCGTCCCTGATGTCAGAGCAGCTGTCAGACAAATCCTCATCTCCAGCTCTGCCTGATGACCTCAGCCTGGATGAACACAGCAGCTACCAGCTGCTTGTCAGAGACAGTCAGGTCAGCCCAGGGTCTCACTGACTCACACTAAACACACACTTTCCATGCGTCACTTTGCTCTCCGATCCTACACACAGTGACCACACAGGCACTGTGAACAAATGATTTCTTGCAGACTGTATTTATAACAATCTACAATTATCTTCCACTCGTTTCATTTGAAGCAGTTGTGCATTCAAGGGGATAACTGGGATGTGTATAGCTCACATTTAACTCCATCAGGGAAAACTTTCTTTAGAGAAGTTTCACTTTTTGGGGAGCAGTTTCATTTGATCCCATTTAAACATCTAGTTTCAAATCAAATGTCATAAACGGAGAGAGACGGCGTCATGATGGAGGTGGTTTTATGAAAATGGAGACAAACTGATTTCCATTACAAGAGGAGAAAACAAACAGCTTTAGACTCAATCTTTTGCGCATTGAAGAGGTGGTCTGTCTTTCGATGGAACATCAAACTTTTTGTGCGGGTCTTCTTGCTCACTCTTTTCTGTCTTCAATTTCAATCCATTTTTGTATCTTGCTTTCAGAGGGGCAGCAGTGATTCCCACAGTTCAGAGGAGTTGCCCACTCAGCGAGACTACAGTGCGCTTCCTCCCTCCAGCTCAGGAAGTGATGGTGGTGTTCAGGAGTTGTTGGAGATGAATCCTCCCTCGCTGGAACAGCTAAGCTCTGAAGGTACTGGTGTCGGAGGGATTCTACATCATGGACAAATGACTTAGGTGCCTTTTGAAGCCAGTGAGAGTCTGTGACCTAACTGATCATTGATCAAGTTCTCCAGCCAGCAAGTACTGTGTAATGAAAATGAAAGTAAACACTTGCTTTTGTAACCAGATTCAGCTGAGATGGTAAGCTGGTGTGATGCAGAGCTCGGATCACCAGACAGCTCACCGGGACTAAGGGACACCTTTAGGAGCGGCTTGTCAAAAAGCACAGCTTCAGTTGTGATAAAAAGCAAGTTAGGTCCAAGCTAAAAGGAACCGTGACCCCCACATAGAGCTGAATGGTTTTAGGAAAAGATTAAATTGTGATTTTTCTATCAGAAATTGCGATTTAAGTTCAATTCACGATCTTCCGCAAACTAAGGTACAACAGTAGCCTGTCAAGCCATCCTGTAGATTAAAGAGCAAGTCACTCCAAATCAACATTTTTTTTCCTGATAAACTATATAAACGAGTGTCTGATTGTGCTGCAGACACGTGTAGTCAATAATTCGGCACGTTAGCGCATCTTAGTTAAAATTTAAATATTCTACCTAAAACTGTCAGTGTTGCACCGTCGTCAGGTAAAAACTCAGCACTGTATTTGAATTTAAATCTGCCGTCGCTATTGGCTAAGAGGTACACTATGATGTTAGATGGTACATTATGATGTCACAATGCCGTGAGTGTGTGTATTTGTTAGCGGCTCCACCCTCTCGGTCTGCTAGGCAACAGCATTTGTTGCATTTTTTAAACAGGAATTGGGAGTTGAGTAAGAATCTGGTAGGTGGTGACTTGCTCTTTAAAGAGCAACTACTTTCTCTCTCTCTCCGTCACTCACCTACGGTGCCATTATTGTGGGCTCTAGCAGCGCTGTGTGGAAAAATAAAACGGAAAATAACCTGCAACTCTGTCGGCTGTGGCGTTGGGCTTGGCTCTGGACAGTATACCCCACTCCCTCCCCCTCGCTGGCTGTTGCCGCCACCGTAACACACGGGGAAACCCCGGATGTTCAAAAAAAAAAAAGTTACACAACAGATCCTGGATCGGTCAAAATCGCAAAAACCGCAGCTTTGACAGTCATGTGATCGTGCTGTTTGAAATCACGATTTCGGTCCAAAAACGATAGAACGTTCAGCCCTAACTCCACACCCCCTTTACACCACCATTGCATAATCTTTTATGAAACGCACATATCGCCACAGTCTGACCACTTGTTAAAAACCAAGGCTGCCTGATTCCAGCTCAGCTTTGCGGTAAATTGGTGGCATTGTTTATGAAAGAGGTTATTGTTTACAGTATGAGAAACAAGACAATTCAGGGAGGGTTTGGTGACCAGATTGCAACATAACAGTGATAGTCAAAGTATTATTGTGTGACTTATTTGCACATGTTGCACAACTGTCACAAGTTGTTTGAGCCTACTCTACATTACACCCGTTACCAATCCCTCGCTCCAGTTGTTTTCCCCAAACCTAAAGCGGAAGTTTGATGTCTTACAAAACACAAATTCAACTAAACCACCCAGTTCAACACTTGCTGTTTGACATATTAACCGTAATGATGAACAAGAGCTGCCTTCATCACTTAGCTTGGTTTTGTCCCATTTTCTACACACTTAGCTCCTCAGGGCCAAAATGCAAGTCACTAAAGAATGACTAAAAATCCTGCAAAGTGTAATCTTATCTTTGCACATGTGTGACCGATGAATGAAGGGCAGCATAACCTGCTGCAGTCTGGAAAGATACCTCAACATCAAGTTAAACTTGGCTCCACTGTTGTTCAGTGCTGCAGTGCTGATCAGCTCAATATACCCAAGCGGTTCTCACGTTCATTACTGGGTCTGCAAACCTAATATTTAAAAATCAACTTTTTAAAAAAATTGTTTAGCTTCTTACTTTCTTTGCAGAGATTTGGTAAAGAGGAATTTGGGGAAAACAAGCATGTTTTTTTAGGCCTTGGTATGCATCTGTTGTCGACCAAGAAGGAACTATTTTTGCTTTCTTGCGAACAAATTAAAACCTACACTCCCCTATCGTGTGGGTTAAATAGAAGTCTCAGTCATTTTCTATTATTTTTCTCTACTTTTACATCTTTTAGGAAGTAGAAGAAAGGAGCAGCCACACTGAGCTGGTGTTCATGAAGCTACAGGCGACAGACTGCAGATCTCTAACTTTCCACTCTAATTATGCCTCGCTGCTGTCTGTTAAACTGCTCGTGCTTTCTCCACTGTGAAATAAGATTACAGTTGTTTTTCTTTAAACGTTCTAGTTCGCGTGGTTGTAAAACAACCAGCTTCAGCTGCTGCTCATTGCAGTTCCAACGTGGATTTTTCTTTGGGTAATGCAGAATGACTTATTTTAGTCAAAGACGTAACAAAAAAAGTGCAGAAAGAACCAAAACATGTTTGCATATGATTAGAAGTTCAGAGGAATCTGGGTTATCAAGGTAAAACGTGCCTTTTTATTTGAACGCATGCAATAAAACAATGAGGATCGTTTTAAAACACAGCAGGTGAATTTGAGGTTAATTTTGTTTTCTTTCCCTCAGCTGGTTTGGAAAGTTTTCACTTGTCCACCTGAAAGACTAGAACAGTCATGTTTAATTAATAGAAGCAAACAGCCTTTCTAGTCTCTGACTTTTCCTTATTCAGAGTAAATCGTTTGCAAAAGGAGTTTGTGTTTATTGTGCAAAAGAGACTAAATCTGATCATCTCTATCTACTTTGTTCAGAGGCTGCCAGTGATTTCCTCGCTGGTTTCCCTGAGCAAGATAAAAATAGTTTTGTCTTTCATAACTAAATTATAAAGTAAGAGAGAAAATGGCACAGAGGCGTGAAACAAATAAAACTGTAGAAATGGCTTTAGAAAGACTGATAACAGGGACAAAACATTATTTAGCTAATTAAATTAAATAGTATGTGACATAAACTTACAAGGTCAATTTATTCACCTTTAAATGCAGCAGTCAAAATGAAAGCTCAAGGCTGTTCTAGTTTTAAAGGTGTGGCTGACTGAAATTAAATGTTTTAATGATTATAATCAGTCACTCTTGGTTTTTCTTGCAGGCTGAACATGAAAATAGTCTCCTACACCTATCTGCTGCATTAGCTGCTAATAGAAAATAGATGGTGGAACTCTAGGACTGGAAAAACCTGACAGATCTACGACACACTTAACGTTAGTGGACTCACTCGCGACAGGGAAGGCTGTTTTAGCGCTCAAGAAACAGCAGCGAACGTCCTGACTAGTTTAAACTAACTGCATTAGCAACTTCTCCACACATCAACCTTGTAAGCCAGTGGTAGAGTCACGTCGCTGTCTTCCAATCTGGGATGAGATGTCCAAATATCAGGAATTAAGGCTCTGCTCCTCAAATCTCAGCTGTGATGTGGGTAACTGGTAGTTCTTGGAAATAGTGCACCAGTATACCACACACACACACACACACACACACACACACACACACACACACACACACACACACACACACACACACACACACACACACACACACTTACAAGACATTCCTACTCAAAGGTGTGACCAAATCACTGCTTTGCAAGTCACAAGTAAGTCACAAGTCTTTCCAGTCAAGTCTCGAGTCAAGTCCAAGTCAAAGACAACCAAGTCCAAGTCAAGTCCAAAGTCAATGATGTCCAAGTCCTTAACTTTGAATTTTCAATTCATAATCAAGTCATCTGTCAAACTTCAATTTAATGACAATGATAATAAGTAAATTCCAGAAATATCATTTATTTGCTCAAACGAGCAGAAAGTTTAACTGACCTTCATTATAAGCAAAGTGCTGCTGCGTTTAGCAGTACAAGATCAAACCCAGAACGAAGAATGATTTATGATTTTTGTCCATGTCATCCCACTTTTGTGCTAAACTATCAAATATGCTCAAGTCATCATCAAGTCAACAGATGCAAGTCGGTTCAAGTTGCAAGTCACTGGCGTTCAAGTTCGAGTCAAGTCGTAAGTCTTCATACATTTTATTAAGTCAAGTCAGAAGTCATTAAAATAATGACTCGAGTCTGACTCACGTCCAAGTCATGTGACTCGAGTCCACACCTCTGTTCCTACTAAAGATGACTGAAAACGCATTGATTAAATGAGTGATCCACACCTTTAAAACATTTCAACCAAAGCGTTGTGAAAACCTCCACACCACTACTATCTGTAACCCCGGTGCTAATCTACTAAATGCACGATAATTTCAATCAGAATATATATTTTTTGCACTAGTATGGGGTTCAGTGTGCAGCCACTGATAGGTAGAAGGGATGAGTCTGTGGATATCTGTCCAACATTACCAAATCTGCACTCCAGTGCCCAAATTCATGTGAGCGGTTTGCTAAACTGAAGGAGCATTTTTTTCCATCCTCAACTAAGTCACCCAAACCCTGCCAAGCGCCAAGCCAGAAAAACCTGAATGCGATGTCATTTAGACAATCCTTACGTTACTGATCTTTTCCCCATTTGTCAATGTACCTTCTGTCTCAGTGGCTGTGATCATTGCAGACCTTTAATACTTTAAACAAAGACATTAATGTTGGTCATAACTATCTCGTTTCAGATGGCGACAGAAGAAAACTCAGTGGGGTCCCTTCACCCATGTTTCATCTACCTGCTGAATTCTTCCACCCAGCTGCTGCAGCCCATTCAGAGGGCCACAGTGACAGGATGAGCCCAAGAGAGGGAGACTCCTTCGGGGTGGCCTCTCTTGCCTCTTGGGCCTCGCTCCGCTCACCTGGAGCTCACAGCAGGCCTCTGAGCCCTCAGGTATACGGCAGGATCAGTGGATTCATTTATGCATTAATGGCTGAATGCAGGGCAAGACACGAAAGACATGAAAGTGATGCTAAACTATGCTAAAACTAGAGCCTCTTCATTTGCTGCCTTCTGCATAAAAAAAAAACAAGAATATTTTTTTAGTTCTTGTTCTTTTGTGTAACCATGGAAACAGGTTTTTTCTTTCCCCCATACCTGCTGGTTTGTTTAGCTCGTGCCCGACTGCCTCTGTGATCCTCAGCTGCTACAGTAATGCTCTGCGGCACTCAGCTAATTAGCCTAGCCAGCCTGGAGCCTGATACTGACGCTGTGCACACTGTTGTTCTTGGCTCAGGCTTCTTATGGTCTCTCTTGTTGCCTTTTCCTTTATCTCTCTCCCAGTGAGGTGGATGTCCTCTCTGTTCTTTTGTCTTCCAGCCTCAGTCGTCTAATTTTCATTTAGATCCAAAAAGCATGAAGTAAACCCCTGTTTCCATGTGGGATACACAACATGATAAGCTTTGGTAATCTGTTAAATTAATAATATTTACTTGTTTGGGCATAGTTTGCTATCTTTGCTGCACCCTTCAGATGTTCAAACCTGGACAATCACCATTGGTGACTGGTTGGAAACACAAGATTGCCTGAAAACATTCACATTTTCTGTTATCACGTTGAATTGTTACTTAGGCCGCTTCCACAGAAAGTGTTTTTATTTATTTTTTTCTTATGGCCAGGTCAAGTGGGGCACATACCATGATTATCCATGCATTGCAACAGCCTTAAGACAATTCTCCTTTTAGTTACATAATGTCCTTAACCCTTTAATCCCTTATAAATGAAATGAAAATCAGAAATATTTTTGAAAGGACTGATCTATTTATAGGCTAATGTTAATAAAACAATCAATTATTGGAAAACATTTTTGGTGTATATTAGGGATGCAACAATACCACTTTTTTCCAAACCGATACTTGGATCTGAGTACTCGCCAATAACGATTACAGATTCTTCCACCACACAAAAAATGCTATGAATTGGAATACAGATTTTATTTTCTTCTCTGCTTTCAACAGAAAAAGACTGTGAGGTACAAAAAAGTAAAATATATGAATAAAGATTATCACAAAACTAAAATATTAGGTGAACAGAAATGACAAGAAACAGTGAAGCCACTTTCAAGGTATCTGTTTCTGGTATCAGTTAACTTTTATCGATAACGATACTGGTATTGGTATCGGCACCAGTATCGGTATTGGTGCATCCCTAGTAAATATATAATATTACAACAGTGATAACTGGCACTGGAAGCGGCGTCCTGGCCAATCACAAGCTTGTGGCCTCCTTCACTTTCAACAAATAGTTAAAAAGTTTGGTGCGTCTCCGTCAGCCTCTGCGAGCCTGTCGGAGAGCCCTTGCGCTAACACACAATCGCCTTGCGTGTCTCCGCACCCACACAGCTAGAGAAGTATAAATCAGTCTTAACACTTATAAAGGATTTAATCGAGCAGAGGTCTGAATAGTGTAACAATCCTATTAAACAGAGTCCTAAAAAATGTTGGAACATTTGTATAAAAGGGTTAATTAGATATCAATCTGTTTGCAATTTACCCTAATGCTACTTGCAATTTGATAGCAAACTCCTCCCGAAGTTGTCTCACGCATTTTCACACGTTTCTATGGTGGAACAGTTGAGAGTAGGGCTGGGCAATAAATTGAAAATGTATCGTTATTGAAATTTCTAAGTGTGACAATAGTATTACATGTGGAGACTTTTCTTTTCTCTTTCTGTCCAGCACACGTCCCACAGTGACCTGTCCCTGGCCACAGGCAGTTCAGAGGGCAGCCTGGAGACCACTCTGGTAGAAGGACTTGGCTTTAGGGTCTCTCCACCTCTGGATCCCCCCATACCCCTCCTCTGCCCTGTTCCTAGCCTTCCATCGCACTCACGGGGAACAACCAGACAGATCCAGAGTCAGTTTTTGCTCAAGAGACGGAGTTCTGCTCTTACACTCCAAGCCACTAGGAGGCGACAGAGAAGTGAGAGCAGCATCGAAGGTGGAGGCAGTTGGTCTGGCTGCTCCCAGCAGGACTCAAAGCACCTTTCAGATGAGGAGATGGGTCTGAAAACAGATAGGGACAGTTGCCACTTCAACAGCAAACACCTATCAGAAACATTAAACAGTCTCTCTCTGACGTCGCTACTCACCTCTGGGTCCTTAGCACCCACAACGATGAAGAAATGTAACAGCACAGGCTCTCTTAACCAGTCAAACCTCTCTGCTTGGAGTAAAGATGGCCGTCAGTTCTACGGCGTTGACCCACACGGCTTCTTGTCGAACCCCTGGGCTGAGGGAGGGGCAGGAGGTGCACAAAAAGATGATCTGACCAGCTTGAGCATGAAAAGCAGCAGTCAGCCCACAAACATTAGCTCCAGGAAAAAAAGATGAAACTCCAGCTCCTCCTTTATGGTGAAACTTTGAAGTCATTTACATTTCTGGACCTTGAACAGAACAGAGGGAGATTCCCTAACACATGTCCTGTGAAATGGTTCTCAGACTCTATCTTTCAGTAGTCGGTTCTGTCATTTCCCCCTCAGACTTGGCTGCTTTTGAGTTTTATTCACCCCTTGTTTTAACAAGACAAGTCTTTAAACAGGTCTTAAGACTGATCACAAGAGGATTGACCTTTCAGCAAAGCCAAGAGTCAGCTTTGAAAGATGCATGGGTCTGTTTGGGCCATCCTGACAGACATGTTAACGTAGTTAGAGGTGCAGTGAGCGGTGGGAATTTCTGCGATGATGTTAAATTAGATCAAACAGGGCTTGCCTGACCTAATGTGCCCACAGCCTTTGTGCAAAAACAATACAGTCAAAACATGACTGATGGCAAACTGAAGCTTTTTTGAGGAAGGCATGTGTACAGGTAGTTTTTTTATTTTTATTTTTTTTTACTCATTGGTAACTGTAGCATCTACCTTTTTCAACCTTTATTAGCAGGTTTGGTAGGGAAAAAGTTAAAAGGTTGTACATTCATTTTTATTTCTATGGACACATCTGTTTGTCAAAAAAGAACAGAGCACAGAATAGACTCTAGAGAAACAAAGAATACAGGATTGCTGCTGAGGCATAAAAACGAGCACTTTGAGAGAAGTGTTTTACATTCCATGTGCATGTGAAGGGCTAAAGCGCAGACCTGGGCTAAATACTAGTGGTACCATCACACTATGTTGTTCCAAAATTTCTGTAAACTCCTTTTATTTCTTTAAAGGTTTCATATCATGCTTTTTTAAACTTCTGAGAGCAAAGGTAGGCACAATATATATTAAAATATTACCGCTGGCACTACTGAGATGTCATTTATCTTAAATATGAGTTATTTTTGTCAGCCTGAATTTATACCTGAAAAAATATGCTTAATTTCAGTGAGCAGTTATTTATTTAGCCAGTTGAAAGCAGATTTCATGTTTTTATATTTTAGTTTTATTGATTTTTTTAGCTATTGAAACAAATGGATTATCATCAACACCTCATACACAGTTTCTGCACAGTCAGTTACCTTTAGGAAACTGAAACCGTGCGGCCCAATCGCAATATTAGATTGCTGTCAGCCATTAAGTTTTTGCCAACAACACTGTTGAGTTTGAAAGGAAACAAAGACTTTATGGAATTTGCTGTGACATTCTATATTCCAGTCTTTTTGTAAGACCAACAACTTCAACCATTTATCATGAAAACGTGGCTAAAGAGTGAAATCATTCAAACAAAATTTCCCTGATTGGCAGTTTGAGAAATCTAAACATCTCTTAATAGTAAGAGTGGTTTATTTCTCCATAGTATATCGTAAAACAAAGATAACTTAAAAATAAATATATTTTATTGATTTCATATTTTTAAGTGGAAAAACCTACTTGAATTCCAATCTCATAAGAGAAAATGAATGTCAAGGGCAAAGGATTGTATCAACAATTTATAAATAATAATTATCTCATGTTGTTAACGACTCCAAAGGCTTTGGGAGCTGATTGTTGTTAGAAATGTTAAAGGGCGTCCCTCTCCAGCATTGGTTGGTGTCTGAACAGGTCACCAGTCTATCACAAACCTCACAATTTTCAGACATGCAATTTAGAACCACCAAGTAATATACTGACCAGCCCTAAAAAGTCCTCACCCAAAAGAGATCACACACTAATGCGTTGGACAGTTCTTAACCCAGTTTTAGTAACTTCTGCAATCTCTTTAGATGTTTTCTCTGCTGTATGCATGCCAATGATCTTACCCTTCTCAAACGGACTAACATCTTTTCCACGACCACCAGATGTGTCTTTCCACATGGTTGTTAAGAAATGAGAAGCAACTCATTGCACCAATTTGGGTTAAATATCTTGTGGCCAGCTGAAAGCTAATCGCCCATGCAGTAATTAACCAATAGGAAGCTTGTAACTATAGACCCATTGCAGCATGGCGTCACACGCCCACACCCCTGCCCCCCATCCACAAGCTGGAGGGCAAGAAGATGGCGCCTCCCCGTTGACCAAAGTTGTTTATTTGTTAGTTGTCAGTGAACAGAGCTTAATAGAGGCAAAATTAAATCTATCACTATGGTTAACACATGTATAGTGCTGTAGGCTGCACAAGTAGACGAAAGGTCAGTAAAGTTACATTTTATAGGTTTCCAGCTGATAAAATATGCTGAAGACAGTGATTAATGGCAAATTCTAGCAGATCCAGTAGTGGGGGAGAGATGTGCAGCAGATCAGTCCTGAGAAGTAAATGTGTGTAAAAGTGACAATGGTGTGTATGTAACAGTCTTGTTATAATAATTACACAAAATGGGTTGTGTAACTGGAGTCGGCAGCCACTGATGTCGTTTGTTTCTGTTTACGTTAGTCATCAGAATAAAGCATCTGTTGATCTCCAATTAACGAGCAGTGGCACTGCGATCGTCCAGCATTAACCCGCAAAACGTAGAAAAGATCCAATAACTCCTTCGATTCAGCTGTGAGAGGTCCGGATGGCCGGTTCTGAGGACTGTCGTCTCACAGCTAGCTAGCAAGCTATTTCAAATGCGCCTGGAAGCTTTTGTGCAAAACAGATGTTTTTTTCTTCATTTGCACAAAGATGTGTTAGATGATCTAAAGTAGTAATACCTAAATCCTTGGGTTTTATTTTGTTAGCTTAAATTGCACATATACAGCTCAGGATGGCTGGAAACTGTATTCTTGCCCTCCAGGTTGTGTGGATGTGCACAGTTACCCAGATGTAAACAATAACATGCAATGGGTCTATTTGCTTACCTAAATCCAGATGGCTGGACAGTGTATAATCTACATGTTCTTGATCTGATCAAATATTTGACCCAGGTCTGCTTGAGTGTAGCACGTTATCCTAAACCAGTATGGGAAGCAATGTGTTCTAAACCAATGTGGTGTGTCATGTTGACCGCCTGTTGTTTTGAAAAATAGTGATTCCTCATTGTATGATCCAGTTTTTGTCACAACCCTAAACGACTCAACCAGGTAGACCTCAGGTGGACATATGCACTCACCGTGAACATCAATTATTACACTATAGGATCACACAGACAAAAGAACAAAAAACAAACAATGCATCAAAACTCTGCAGGATTTGGAGGTCGTTTCAAAATGAAGCAGAACCTCGACTGACATTTCCTGATTAATCCTTGTTGCCCTTATTTAAATTAATAAATCACTTAACCTCCCTTCTACAATGAAGCTGGATCACTGAATGAGTTTTGAGCAACGCTGTTTGAGATATGCAATATGCTGCAGTATGATTATGTACAGTTAGATGTATGAGGTAGGCAATATGGGGAGAATATATTTATGAAATTATATATGAGAATAAAATGTCACCAACATTCAGAGGTCACTGAAAGGTCAAATGTGTATTCATGTATTCCAAATTGTGTGTATGTGTGTTTTTTTTCTTCATTTAATCTGATTTTCTTTACCAAAATGCATGTGCTTTTTATTTTCTTTTCTTTATGTCAATCTTGTGTCATAAAAATGAGATAGCTTTTCAACCACTTCTGACTCCTGATGTTCTTTCTAAATGTCGAGTGTTCTAACTTCATCTCGCTTTTGTTTTTTAGAATTTTATTCTTAAGAAAAGGGGATGCTAAATGTGCAAATTCCTGCTATCTTCCATTGATACAATGAATAACTCTCCAAGTCATTAATGAGTTAAGGAAATACACACAAGGTTAAACTTTCATTATTAATTTTTACGAAGAAAGCTAAACCAGAAAAGATTTGGGAGGACTTGTGCAGTTCAAGAGATGAGGCCATTCATCTGGAGTGTTAATAACAGTCCTCCCAGGATTTTTATGGTGGGAGATATTAAGACAACTGGTCCTAAGAGTTATTGCCTACATTAAAAAGGCAGGGTGATTTGCACTAGAATTGTGACTCATCCCAGGTTTAAAAGTAAAGCTATATAATCAGAGAGATAGTTTATTTAGGTCTTCATGATCCTTCAGCATTAAAACTATTAACACACAATAACTATAGAATAAAAGAAGAAATGTAACCTGAAAGACAAAACAAAATTTGCTCCCTAGTGGCTGGCTTCAGAATCTATTTTAAGTCCACTTATTGTTATTGTACAGACTTTTAAAGCAACACTTAATAAGTTTTATACTCCTCTCTTCTACTGGTTGACAGCAGAATTACAACTGTTGTAAACAACCCTACCACAGTCTGCTGTAGCTAATGCTAACAACGAGCTGACACTAACATGAGCAAACTAATACCAAAATAAGCCACAAAGTCAAAAGATTCACACTGTCAAACAAAAAAATATTACTACTCATTAGTACATTAACAACAAAGTTAGGTCACCATCAGTCCTTTATTTCATAGCCTCCTTTAGTAAAAAGCTAGAATTGGGACAATATTACATGTAACATGTACAAAGTTTCGTAGTTTGTACATGTTTTTTACTGCAACTTTTGTTTTGTAACACAACTTTTGTTTTGTAGCATGTAATTCTTGTTTTGTATTCTTGTTATGTTACTTTTGCAAGCTACAAAACAAAAGTTACTTGTTACAAAACATGTGTTACAAGTTACATGTAATATTGCTCCCTCAAACTAGAGTAGGCCATGTAGATGTTCACTCTGGTTTTAGCTCTTTGTTTTGCCTCCAAAGACAATACACTTACTTTTACACTCAGGCTCCACCATGATGCCAACATAAAAGCCAAGTTTTTCTTTTTCTTCTTGTGTTAGTTATGATCCCGATTGCTAAAACTCCAACTCAAAAACATGCGCCAATAAACAGGATATTTTAGCTTCACCTTGTGCAATGTAACGTGACGAAGGAGCTGTTCCAACCAAGATTATTTAATCTTTTCCACAGTCCCTTTGACGCAGTGCCAGAGTGCATGAAACAGCCTCAAGGTCATGCAATCACTTCTAAACTGTTTACATTCCAGCGATGAAGACAGAAGATGAAGACTGCTTTCTTTTCTTTTATTAAAAGCCAAAGAACTCTATTTTCAGAATAAAAGCTAATCAAAACAACTGTTAGTCAATAATAACCATGTGACCGATCTGTGAAATCACAATATTATGATTAATATGTTTTAATAAGTAAATGACTTATTCTAGCCACTAGACACGCTGATACACTAAGGTAAATAATCAAATGACACATTGTTGTCGTTGATCCAATCAGAACCTTCATGTCTGAAGTGTGGCAGAGTCTCTGTGGTGTTTATTTAATCTGTCAGCTTTGATTCGTCCAGAATCATAAACATCAAGATTAATAAAACAGTTTAATGCCATTTTAAGATCAGTATTCAACGAGATCTCAAGATCCCCTGAAGTTCACTGCATGCTAAGTGAAGTATGGACAGGCCATCTATACTTTTCTTTTAAAGCTAAGAACTGCCAAGCTGGGAAAACACCTGTCGTTGTTATCAACAAACAACGGTTCCTTCAGAATAAAAGCTGAACCCGCTGACCCAAGGGGGGTCCCTTTTGACGCTGTGAAACACCTGTCGCTTTTTATCTGGAGACTATCCAAAGATTGGTTTGCCGTGCTGTCTACGCTGTTTCATCGGCTCCAGTACCAGTGGAAAGTTGTGAACCTGGCATCCTGATCTGTACTCACTGAAGGGTATGTGGATGCGACAAATGGCGTCTCATGTTTTTTATGACCACGGTTCAACGTTGATCAGTTAGGAGCAAAACATCATCTCCCACTCAGACTCGCTTCTCCAGAAACGGAGGTTCTGAACTGACATCGCACCAACACACACTTCACCTCACATTTCATTCCACAAACATCCATCATTAGAGAGTTAGTCTGGTTAAATAGTTTAAAATTAATTTTAGTAATACAATTTCTTAAACGTTTGAAAGTCTCTCTCTCTTCTCTTGTCTCTCAGTTCATGCAAAGTGTTTATTAAATTTCCCTGTAATAAAAAGAACCAATCTTCTGATTTAAATAACCCAGTGTCCATTAGATGGGGTCCATACTAGATATGGATCTTTAATGTCTATGGTCATTAATTAAATTGTAACTCTTTAACACTACATTAATGGTGAGCCATCGCCAGATATTTATACATTTTTAAAACACTTTGTGTCAAGTTTGAGACATATTTAAACTCTTTAAACCTTTTAAAAACAAAAAAGTTGATGTTCTGGTTTCAAACGAGGCAATCTCAAAATAAGCCGCTTGAGGGCAGCACCTCCATGTAAAGTAAAGGGGGGTTGGCGTCAGTCATCCTCCACAGGAGGCGCTGTTTCATATCAAACCACCCTATGGCTGACGTGGCATATAGAGGCCATTTTGGGCCTAGCACTGAAGGAGTTTCCCTGTCTTTTAAGGTGAATACTGTTTATTTTCATGTTTTTTCTCGAGTGTACGTGGCACTGTGTACAATTTATTGTGTAACAGGAGATAGAAATATCCCCGCTGGAAGTCCGCCTCCCTCAGTAGCCGACTTGATCCCCCGGCTTACCAACCCGGTCGAGCTTACTTCTACCGCTAATAACTAAAGTTTGACACGGAAGAGCGTCTCTGCATACACAAAGTGCAAACGCTATAGTCCGAATATAACGACAACGCTCACAAACGTTTAGTTGCTCGGGCTTTAAAACCTGGTCGCTCCAGGCCCGCGATAGCTTAGCATAACAGTGCTAACTAGCAGCACCCAGTAAGACAGCGGTATACGCGTGCCGACAACCTGTCAAGCCATTTTGACGCAGTGTTTCTGCGTCCTAAAATCCGCTACGCCAAAGAGTAAAACGCCGAACTCGTTTGTGCAGTTTTAGCGGCGGTTTTATTCACTTTCTGTGTTTAAAGCTTCTCGGTGACGTCATCGGCCGCCACCATTTTGGAAGCATCTGGGCAACACACGATGACGTCAGCACCTCGCCCGCACCCACCAACGGCGCTCTGCCGCCATCTGGCAAATTTGTCTGTTCATTACATTCATTTTGGTGAAAAAGTCATTTTTATTTTAAAAGAATGTCTGAAGAAGAGATATTAACCGTTCACTCACTGGGAAGACAGGTGATTGATGCAGTGGAGTCTGTGGTAGGACAGGCAAGCTTGTCTGAGCACGTCTACGCTGAAGGTTTGCAGGAACACCAAGCTGACCTGATGAAACTATTGCAAACTAAGATTTCAAGTCTGCCCATCTCAAGTAAACCTCCTAAACTAGCTATCCGTGCAGAGTACCTGGTGGAGTTCACAGTCTTGTTAGCTCACCTGTGGGACAGAGAAGTAAATGCTCATATGGAGACACAAGGTAAGATGCGTGCTTTCTTGAACAGCAAAAAGGTGAAACAAGTGGTTCTGACGCTGAGAAGCTGAGCGATGCTCAGGAACAACTAACCAAAGCCCAAAACCAGCTATCAGCAGCTCTGACAGAGACTAGAAAAGTGTTAGATGAAAAGATTCAGCTGGAAAACAAAATTGCCAGCTTGGAAGAGGAGAAATTCGATTTAAAATACAATGCAAATATGCTTAAAGCTAAGATAGAAAACCGAGAATCGGAACGAGTTTTTACAGTCAAAGATTTCTGGACTCACAAAGAGTGCCACAGGAATCACACCAGCGATCTCCTCCTCAGGTTCCATCAGCTCCTTCTCCTCCTTGTTCTCCATCACCCCGTCCACCTCCGGCTGTGGCAGTGACTGCTCCACCTCCGGCTGTGAGTGTGGCTGGTGGAGGTGCATCTGCTGCAGCAGGAAGAGGACATTTCTCACCACCTCCTCCTCCGGCAGATGCTATGTGTGCTGTTCCACCGACGGGTGGAAGTGCACCTGCTGACGCAGGAAGGGGACATTTACCTCCACCTTTTCAGCCAAGGCAGTATGTGCCATCTCTAGCCCCTCATCCGGGGTACCCGGCTCCTCAGCTGGCCCATTCGTTCCCACCTTCAGCCCCTCATCCGGGTTACCCGGCCCCTCAGCCGGCTCATCCGTTCCCACCGCCAGCCCTTTATCCTGGCTACCCTCAGCCAGCCCATCTGTACCCGGCTCCTCAGCCAGTCCATCCCTACCAGCCTCAGCCAGTCCATCCCTACCCGCCTCAGCCAGCCCAACCGACCGCACCTGTGCCCATAGCTGACATCTACAGGATGTCTCGGAGCGTCAAGAAGTTCAGCCCTCAACCAGGTAAGTCGTACCCGGTTGATGCACACCTGAGCGACCTCCGATATCACTTTCAGCGATGTCCAGGAATGACCCTGGAGGACAAGATTTTTCTGATAAGGTTGGCCTCCGATGGTGTGAGTTCGCTTATTGATCGCAAGCGTAATTTAATGGAGAATGATCACAAAAAGCTGGAAGCTGCGGTTCGGAAAGAGTACACCTACAATTCACAGGAGGCTGGCATAGTTAGCTTTGTCAGTCAAACAGAGTCGTACTGAAGACCCACAAGTCTTCTATCAACTCGTGGAGGGGACCCTAAGACACCACGACCAGGCCGCGATAAACAGCGTGTTTCTTTCAGAGAAAAAGGGGGTTCGCCAGGCTCCTACAGGAGAGAGTCGCCTCGCCCAAGCGAG